CTAGGAGGGTAGGGGTAAGGTCGAATTTTTTTGTTGGGGTGTGCCAAGACCACTATCTGCGGGAAGCCTATACCCTTTAGGCCACCACCTAGTATAGACACTGCCTGAGGCATCTACTAGCCTAGTAGAGCCTTAGAATTCAGGCAGAAATTATGAGAAAATAATTTCTAGTATTTATAAAGAGCCTAGTACTAGATGGCTAATATAAATATTTTTAGTAAGTAGTAGGGACTTTTAGCTATAGAATAATAATAGTCTGATTATATAAGCATGATTCCTGATTTTTAAAAATTCTTAAAAAACACTTTGAAATTTATTACCTGCTGACTAATCATCATCATTTTTAGTGAATAGGCCATATTTTAACTAGAAGAATGATATATAGCATGTTTAGTAATGCTAAGCCTAGAATTTTTAAAATTTATAGAAGTTAATGTTTTATAGATTTCATTTAGAGAGTAGGTCTAGACTTAGTAGTCTAGTAGGGAGAGGCCTATAAGCAGGCTACCTAGACTAGATGTTTCAGCTTCGGTAGGTCCCTGTGTGGGCTATCTAGACTAGGTGATTCAGCTTCAATAGGTCCCTGTGTGGGGGGTCTAGTCTAGAAGATTTGATATGGCTTAGCCTAGTGATTTAGCTTTAATAGGTCCCTGCGTGGGCTCTCTTAACTAGGAAATTCAGCTTTGATAGATCTCTGCATAGGCTATCTAGACTAGGTGATTCAGTATGGCTCAGCCTAGTAATTTAGCTTAATAGGTCCCTGTGTTAGCTATCTTAACTAGGTGATTCAGCTTTAACAGGTCTAAAATATATATATAGTAGGGTCATTCAGATGTAGGTAAAGCTTTAGTTAGTAACTATATATATAGTAGAGTCATCTAGATCTAGGGAGATATTTAATTTATGAATATATATTTACATATAATATATATAATAAAGGGAAATAAATATATTTAACTTATACTAGCCTAGTAATTCTATAATTATCTAGACCTATCTAGGCCTATCTATTATATCTAGTAGAATAAGATACTAAATCTATAAAATAATAGGGCCCCTATTCTACAAGGGATGGAGCGATGAGGGCTCATCGCTATTAGGGTCGAAAATTTACAGTGTGCTGATTGGCGGAAATATTCCTTGGCGGTGCTGGGTGGAATTGATTTCAAGGGCTCATCGCAATTAGATTCTATGGGTGTATCATCCTGAAATTTCATAGGTAGTATACCTAGCCTTTATTAATAACTGGATCAAATTTCAAGAGAATCTGACATAGAATAAAGAGATGGTTTGTGGTTAAATTCTACATAATCAACAGCCTGATTTTCGTGGGGTGCGGCGTATCCTACAAAGGATAGAGTAATAGGGCTATTATAATTAGATTCTACCATCATAATTAGATCCTAAGGTGTATCATCCTGAAATTTTAATCGGTAATATACCTGGCCCTTATTAATAACTAGATCAAATTTTAAGAGAATCTAACTTAGAATAAAGAGGTGGTTAGTGGTTGAATTCTCATCATTAATAGCCGGATTTTCATCAGGTGCAGCCTCACGAGACTAACCATACCTTAGATTCAGGGGTAAAGATGTTTCTGTATCTTACTCATTCATCACTATTCATTCATGACTATCCATTCCATCCTTACTATCATGGAAAATCAATTATTTCATCAGGTGCCTACCTTAGGTATTCTTATCTGCCGTCAATGCAAGCATGGGTACGACTAACAGAGGTTGAACAACATCTAAAGAAGAAGCACTCCCTAAAGCATGCAGTTGCAATCCAGATCACTGAGGCAATATCTAAATAGCAGGATATTCAGTATGATAGTAGCACTATCCAGATACCTCAAGCATTAGATGAGCCGCTGCCTATATTACCATCTCATTCTGATGGCCTGCGCTGCCTGCGTGATCAAACCAAATGCCAATATATAGCAGCAACAATTAAATCTATGCGAAAGCATTGGCAGGTTGTTCACCAGTGGTCCCAGCAGAGTCATCGCGGGCGGGTTAGCCAGAAGGAGAAGGCTAGGGGTGATACTGAGGTGCAGCAGTCATTCCAATATGTCTCATGGCAGCAGGTGTTTCCTAGTGGTCCCGGGTCCCATTATATCCATATTTGATATCCAGATGGAGTCCCCCGCCCCCATCAATCCAGCGCGTGCAGGCTGCGGTAGATGAGGTGGTGCAGGCGTGGGAGCAGGCGCAGGCCCGCGCTCAGGCCGATCAGGCGATCCAGGCGAGCCAGTTGACTGACGCGAATCCCTGGCTGCGGATGACTCGGTGGGCGGACTATCTGCAGGGTATCCAGGCGCATAACCTACTTGCCTGCGTGGCAGCCCCGGAGGAAGATCCCCAGGATGCCACTGAGCAGTGCGTGCAGGTGATCTGGCATACAATGGAGCAGGTCGCCCGCAAGAGCCAGCAGACGGTCTAGCACTGCGGCCAGGCCATTCAGGTGGAAGCAGTCCAGTCTGAAAAAGGACAGACACCATACCAGCTACTGCTGGCGTATATGGATGAGGCGGCAATCCAGAAGCATGTCCATCCATGGCAGCAGATATTAGCATTCATTGCCCGCATGCAGGCGCCGCATGACTGGATAAGTCCAAAATATGGGATGACTGTGCGGCAGCGCCAGAAATGGCAGCAGCTGTGGCAGCTTGCTAGCCAGGCCGCAGTTCCAGGGGACCGGGAGGTCTCGGAGGACCTAGAGGTATGGGTGATGACCATGATAGAAAAAGCATGCTTAGAATTTTGCATTAAGCTGCTTAACCAGCGCCATCGCAGTCATGAATATGAGAGTGCATTAGTATGCGCCATGGCGGTGCTCAGTCAAGGTGAGGCTAGCTAGCAGGACCCTAAGAGCTACCCCCCAATATTATCCCGCGTGATCAAGGTGGCCCGATTCATAGTGGTCCAGAAAGCACTATAGATAGACCCAAATCCATGGCAGATCATTCAGACCTGGATACAAAAGGACCAGAGCACTGAATGGGTGCTAGCTAGCGCAGATGATCAACTTAGGGAGATTAATAAGGGATATAGCAGTGATGACCCCCCATCATCACCACCATCATCGCCATCATCCATCCATAGCGATGATCCATTACCCGCAGTCAACATTCGCCAGAGCCGGCGACCATTCCAGGAGCAGGTGACATGGATGATGCACCAGTTTATGATCTGTGGGACACATGGCCCCATGGAAACATTGCTAGACTAGCACACATATGGATTAAAGGTCCATTATAATCATACCGCGCCCGGACATGTGACATGGATAGGCGAGGACCAGTTATTATACCAGCAGATGGCGTTCACGATGGGGGATTTTCAGGGATTCATCCATGGATTAGTAACTGCAGCAAGGGAGATACTAGGCCATTTATGCATGCAGGATCATGCGCAGATGCCTACCATTCCCTAGACAGCATTATATGACGATCCCAGCCAGAGCCAGGCAGGGTGGAACTTTCTGCACAATGCACGGACCCAGTGGCCGTGGATGGGACCCACTAGATGATCAACTGGCTGCGGGCCGAGCGGTCATGCAGCGGCATTTTCTGCGGGCAGCTAATTCCACCCCACCACCATCCAGCAGTATTGGCAGCGCGTGGCCCAGTTTAAGGAGAAATTAGTAATTATCATGCATGTCACTGCAGGGCAGCCGGCCCAGGCCCCAGAGTTATTAAGCATTCAGCATTGCAACACAGCAAATAGTCAACAGCGGAATATATATATCAAGGATGGCATGGTGACATTTGTAACAGCATATCATAAGGGATTCCATGCTAGCAATGATATCAAGATCATCCATCAATATGTGCCGCAGGAGGTCGGGAGTTAGTAGTATAGTATATATAGCTGGTGATACCATTCATTAATCAGTTAGCTGCATGGCAGGCGGCGCAGGCGGCGCAGGGAAGTCAGGCAGCGCAGGGAAGTCACACCAAGCAGGGAAGTCACGCCGTGCAGGGAAGCCAGGCCGCGCAGGGAAGTGATGCCACACAGGGGAGCCAGCCCACGCAGGGGAACCAGGCCATGCAGGCATGGTTATGGGGCCCAACCCCAGTACTGGCCGCGAATAGTCGTCTGAGCGGTTCCGGGAGGCGTTGAAACAGGAAACCCACACCCAGCTAGGCACCACCATCCATATCGCCGCATACCGGGACATCACCATTGGCATCAGCCACTGATTTTTGCGGCCGTCCACCGCGTTCCCCCATAATATCCAGGAGGCCGAGCCGGCCCAGCTGCCATGGATGCTGATGCTAAGGAGGGCATGGATATCAAGCAGTGGATAGGCCATATTACTAATTTACAGGCCGCCCATTCATCACACGTTGCCGGCATGGTATATGGCCGTGTCATGCAGGAACAGGCCGGCAGCACAGCCCACCAGCAGGAGATGTTCAGTTATCCAGCACCAATTAGCATCAGTTTTTAGGGTTTAGCACCCCGGGCCACCTATCCATATTAGGCAGCGCAAACAGGCCCGTGGGAGGATGAGGCTGAGGTCAGCCGCATGGAACGCCGCCACCAGCTGGCCACTATAGATCTAGAGGCAGCCGCGCAGCACATGACTGGGCGGCCCGACATGCGGTTCCGGGGGTGCAGGACCCGGCAATGCAGGCCATCCAGCGGGGTGAGAGCCCTGTGGTGGCGGTGATGCCACTAGTAGGGGAAGAGCATGCTATTCATGGTGCCCGCGTTCACCGCCCCCAGGGGCACCACCATTGTTGTGGTGCCACTCATTGCATTACAGGCTGATATGACCAGGCGCTGCCAGGAGCTCAGCATATCATGTGTGCCATGGGAGAGCCGGCAGCCCCCCAATGCCGCATCCATCATGTTAGTGACGCCTAAATCCGCGGTGAGCCTGATTTCCAGACATTTTTGAACCGGCTGCGGTGGACCCGGCGGTTAGACCGGATTGTGATCAATAAATGCCATGTGGTGTTGAATTCCCAACATAATTTCCAGCCCCAGATGGCTCAGCTGGGCTGGTTGGTCCAGGCCCGCACCAGATAGTATGGTTAACCGCCACATTGCCCCGAGCATGGAGGCTAAATTATGCCAGCAGATGAAGTATGACCAGGCCACCATGACCATATACCGGCCCAGACCAGCCGGCCGAACGTGGCATACCAGGTGTGGCAGCCAGACATGACCAGGGTGGGCCGGGCCTATATCAGTGGATTAAGAGTGAGGTGGTGGTAGCATTCATTCAGGACCAATCCGACAGGCCGCTGGGGGAAGGTGATTATATATGCAAATATCATCAGGCAGGTGACGGCCATGGCGCAGGTGCTTAGGTGCAAGGCATATTACAGCGAGCAGTTGGACAAGGCCGGGTGCTGGCGCGGTTCATAGGGCCAGCCCAGTGATCGCCACCACCAGCGCGTTAGGCATGGGGGTGACATCCCAATATCCGCAGCATCATCCATATTGGGACCCCCTGGACATTACTGGATTACGCGCAGGAGAGTGGCCGGCTGGGCGAGATGGACAGCACAGTGAGGCAATCATTATCCAGCCAGCTGGGTGGGATACCCCAGCTCCATGGATGGAGGGCGTCGCCCCTAAGGACCAGGAGCAGGTTGCTGAGTATATAGGGGTGGTAGAAGGCATTGGGTGCACCAGGTCATGTTAGATCAGTATTTGGATGGAGTGGTGGATGGGTATCAGCAGCAGTATTACCAGGATGCGGATCCCAGGGAGCAGATATGTGATGGTATGATCCCAATTAGGCAGAGCTGGAGGTGGATCCAGCCAGGGTTGGTAGCAGCCCAGTGCCGGGTGAGGCAGCCCAGAGGCCCATGTGAGGCAGGCAGCGAGGCAGGCAGCGAGGCAGGCAGCGAGGCAGGCAGCAAGGCAGGCAGCGAGGCAGGCAGTAAGGCAGGCAGTAAGGCAGGCAGTAAGGCAGGGAGAGAGGCAGGGAGAGAGGTAGAGAGAGAGGTAGTCAGAGAGGCCCCATGCCAGGCAGGTAGCATGGTAGCAAGAGAGGCAGCCAGAGAGGCACCATACAGGGTGACCCACCATCAGGCAGTCCCACCCCATCCAATAAGTCATTTTGCAGCCAGCCATCCATTCCCATGGCAGTATGGCACACCCAGCAGGCACAGGCCCAGCAGTGGGCCGCCATGGATATCCAGCAGCAGCAGCATCGGACCCAGCAGGGTTTGGATGAGGAGATGGCCAGGCCAAATGCATGCAGTGGCAGGACCAATGTTATATATACGCCATGCAGGGGGGTGATGGTGGCCATAAGTTATATGCATGTCATCAGCCCCACAGCCAGGCCGCACGGGCATGGATGATCCACGTGCATCAGCAAGTGCAATACACGCCATATAGCGCGTGTTATTCATGCGGTATGCCCCAATCCATATGCCATGGGTGGGAGCCAGGCCACGCATGCAAATACCGCGGGTTTTTGATCCCCATGGTGGCCATGATGTTATTCAGGCCATGGCAGGCCAGATCAAGCCCATATGGCAGCGCTGGTTGCAGGGAATGGGGGTTGATGGGCAGGATGAGGCCCAGGTAGTCCAGTTTTTAGGGCAGGCGCACCCCAACCACAAGGGGCACAGCCAGTTATTTACATCATTTTATTGGTTATAGCAGTTATGTCAGGAGATCAAGGTCGATCAGCATTGATATATTTAGGAATGAATATATATTTAGTATACCATAATGCGCAGAGATATATATTATACAGTTAGTTTATATAGTATGTTAGCTGAATTAGTGGTTTATACATATGCATATATATAATATCAACCATAGTTATGATAGACATAGGTAGTAGGTAGGGAGGGAGCAAGAGAGACAGTAGGTAGATAGTAAGGTAGGCAGTGAGGTAGACAGGAAGGTAGATAGGAAGGTAGACAGGGAGGTAGACAGTAAGGTCATGCATGAGGCAGGCAGCAAGACAGGCAGTGAGGTAGACAGAATGGAGGCAGAATAGGAGGCAGAATAGGATGCAGAAGGGCAGGTCAAATAGCAGGGAGAACAGCAGGCAGTGAGGTAGTGATTAGGATAGCAAGCAAGGTAGTATAGTAGATTATAAGGCCCAGGAAGGTCATGCATGAGGCAGGCAGAACAGCAGGCAGAAAGTAAGACAGGTAGTGGGGTAGATAGTGAGGTAGACAGCAAGGTAGACAGCAAGGTAGACAGCGAGGTAGACAGTGAGGTAGACAGCAAGGTAGACAGCAAGGTAGATAGCAAGGCAGGTAGTAAGATAAGCAGTAAGGCAGGTAGTAAGGTAGGCAGTGAGGCAGGCAGTGAAGGAGGTAGTAAGGCAGGTAGTAAGGCAGGCAGCATAACAGGCAGTAAGACCAGCAGGAAGAACCCAGTAAGATAGGTAGTATAGTAGATAGTAAGGCAGGCAGTGAAGCAGGTAGTAAGGCAGGTAGTAAGGCAGGCAGCAAGACCGGCAGTGAAGCAGGCAGTAAGATAGGTAGAATAAGGCCCAGGTAGTCCAGGTGGTCCAGGGTTTTAGGTTAGTGCATCCCAACCATGAGGGGCACCGCCAGTTATTTATATTATTTTATTTAGTACAGCAGTTATGTCAGGAGATCAGGTTGATCAGCATTAATATATTAATAAATGAATATATATATTTCAGGATACCATAATGCGCAGAGATATATATTATACATTTAGTTTATAGAGTATGTTGGCGAATCCATAGTTTATACGCAGGGATATATATATAAGTGACATATCAGGGAATATATATCATATTAACCATAGTTAGGAGAGAGGTAGGTAGCAAGGTAGACAGTAAGGTAGATAGTAAGGTAGATAGTGAGATAGGCAGTGAGGTAGGCAGTAAGGCAGGCAATGAGCAAGGGGGCAGCAAGCCAGGCAGTGAGTGAGGGGGGCAGCGAGCAAGACAGGCAGTGAGCAAGCCAGTTAGTGAGTGAGGGAGGCAGTGAGATAGTAAGCTAGATAGTGAGATAGGTAGTGAGTGAGCCAGGCAGTGAGCAAGTGAGGCAGTGAACAAGCCAGTCAGTGAGCAAGCCAGTCAGTGAGCAAGCCAGTCAGTGACTAAGCTAGCAAGCAAGGCAGCGAGTGAGGGAGTCAGTGAGCAAGCTAGCTAGTGAGGCAGGCAGTGAGCAAGCCAGTTAGTGAGCAAGGGAGGCAGTGAGCGAGCCAGGCAGTGAGCAAGCCAGGCAGTGAGCAAGCCAGGCAGTGAGTAAGTGAGGCAGTGAGTAAGGGAGGCAGTGACCGAAGCAGTGAGTAAGGGAGGCAGTTAGTGAGTGAGGGAGGCAGTGAGATAGTAAGCTAGACAGTGAGATAGGTAGTGAGTGAGCCAGGCAGTGAGCAAGCGAGGCAGTGAACAAGCCAGTCAGTGAGTGAGCTAGCAAGCGAGGCAGCGAGTGAGGGAGTCAGTGAGCGAGCTAGCTAGTGAGGCAGGCAGTGAGCAAGCCAGTCAGTGAGCGAGGCAGGCAGTGAGCAAGGCAGGCAGTGAGCAAGCCAGGCAGTGAGCAAGTGAGGTAGTGAGTGAGGGAGGCAGCGAGCAAGGGAGCAAGCAAGTCAGGCATTAAGGCAGGCAGTGAGGGAGGCAGTGAACGAGGGAGGCAGGCAGCGAGCAAGTTAGGCAGTGAGCGAGCGAGGCAGTGAGTAAGGGAGTCAGTGAGCGAGGCAGTGAGCGAGGGAGGCAGTGAGTGAGCCAGCTAGTGAGGCAGGCAGCGAGCAAGGCAGGCAGCAAGTAAGGCAGTAAGTAAGGCAGGCAGTGAGTGAGGCAGTAAGACAGGCAGTGAGATAGATAGTAAGATAGATAGTAAGATAGATAGTAAGATAGATAGTAAGGTAGACAGTAAGATAGATAGTGTAGTCAATAGTAAGGTAGGTAATAAGGTAGATAGTAATTATAAATAGCATAGTAGATAGTAAGGTTAATAGTAAGGTAAGCAGTAAGAGAGGTAGTAATATTAGTAGATTAAGATTAGTTAGTATCCATATATCAAGTAATAGATATATATTAGGAGATCAAGGTTAATTAGGATTAATATATTAAGTAAATAAATATATATATTTTAGGATACCATAATAGCAGCAGAGATATATATTATATATTTAGTTTATATAAATATCCAAATCCATGGTTATACATCCATATATATATATATAATTAGGTATCAGGGGATATCACCATAGTTAGGAGAGAGATAGTTAGTAAGGTAGATAATAAGATTAATATATAGTAGATAGTGAGGTTAACAGTAAGGTTAATAGTATAGTAGATAGTAAAGTGAAATAGTAAAGATAGCAAGGTTAATAGGAAGGCAGGCAGCAAGAGAGGTAATAATATTAAGAGATTAAGGTTAGTCAGCATTAATATATTAGTGAATGAATATATATAATTTGGGATACCATAATGCTCAGAGATATATATTATAGAGTTAATTATAGAGTATATTAGCTGAATCCGTGGTTTATACACAGGCATATATATATATAATATTAGCCACATTCAAGAGAGAGGTAGGCAGTGAGATAGGCAGTGAGAGAGATAGTAAGGTAGCCAGCAAGGCAGGTAGCAAAGGAGGCAGTGAGCAAAGCAGTAAGTAAGGCAGTAAGCTAGACAGTGAGCTAGATAGTGAGGTAGATAGTAAGTGAGAGAGGCAGTAAGGGAGGCAGGCATAAGGCAGTGAGGTAGATAGTGAGGTTGACAGTGAGGTAGATAGTGAGGTTGATAGTGAGGTAGATAGTAAGATAGATAGTGAGTAAGGTAGCTAGTGAGACCAGCAGTAAGACTGGAAGTGAGCAAGGCAGTAAGGCAGTGAGCAAGATAGTAAGCTAGACAGTGAGTAGACAGTGAGTGTAGCAGTGAGAAAGGCAAGTGAGTGAGATAGCAAGACAGGGAGTAAGTAAGATAATAAGGGAGGCAGTGAGATAGGGAGTAAGTGAGGTAGCAAGATAGGGACTGAGGAGGGAGGCAGTGAGATAGGTAGTAAGGCAGGCAGTAAGCAAAGCAGTGAGCAAGGCAGTGAGTAAGGCCAGTTAGTAAGATAGTGAGTGAGATAGTGAGCGAGTTAGTGAGGGGGCAGTGAGTGAGATAGTGAGGGAGGCAGTAAGTGAGATAGTGAGGGAGGTAGTAAGTAAGATAGTGAGGAGGTAGTGAGCAAGATAGTGAGTGAGATAGTAAGTAAGGTAGTGAGTGAGATAGTGAGGGAGGCAGTGAGTAAGACAGTGAGCAAGATAGTAAGTAAGGCAGTGAGTGAGATAGTAAGGGAGTAAGGTAGTGAGTGAGGTAGTAAGCAAGATAGTGAGCCAAGATAGTAAGTAATATAGTAAGGGAGGCAGTGAGCAAGACAGTAAGTAAGATAGTGAGGGAGGCAGTGAGTGAGATAGTAAGTAAATAGTGAGGGAGGTAGTGAGTAAGACAGTGAGTGAGATAGTAAGTAAGGCAGTGAGTGAGATAGTGAGTGAGATAGTGAGGGAGGCAGCAAGCAAGACAGTAAGGGAGGCAGTGAGTAAGATAGTAAGGGAGGTAGTAAGTAAGATAGTGAGGGAGGTAGTGAGCAAGACAGTAAGTAAGATAGTAAGTAAGGCAGTGAGTGAGATAGTGAGTGAGATAGTGAGGGAGGCAGCAAGCAAGACAGTAAGGGAGGTAGTAAGTGAGATAGTGAGGGAGTGAGGCAGTAAGTAAGGTAGTGAGTAAGATAGTAAGTAAGGCAGGCAGTGAGTGAGTGAGGGAGGCAGCAAGATAGGTAGTAAGTAAGATAGTAGTGAGTCAGGCAAGTAAGGTAGACAGTAAGATAGATAGTAAAACAGGCAGTAAGATAGTGGTAAGACAGGTAGTGAGGTAGATAGTAAGATAGATAGCAAGGTTAATAGTTAGGCAGGCAGTAAGAGAGGCAGTAATATTAGGAGATTAAGTAATTAGTAGTATATATGAATAATATATATATTTTAGGATACTATAATGCGTAGAGATATATATTATACAGTTAGTTTGAAGAGTATGTTGGCTGAATCTGTGGTTTATATGCAGGCATATATATATAAATAAGACATCAGAGAATAACATATAATATTAAACCACATTCAGCGAGAGAAGTAGGCAGTGAGATAGGCAGTAAGGTAGTTAGTAAGTGAGCAGTAAGTAAGAGAGGTAGTGAGGGAGGCAGTGAGGGAGGTAGTAAGATAAGTAGTGAGGTAGATAGTAAGGTTAACAGTAAGGGAGGTAGTAAGTAAGATAGTAAGGGAGGTAGTAAGATAGGCAGTGAGCAAGGTAATAAGGGAGCTAGCAAGTGAGATAGCAAGATAGAGAGTAAGTAAGGCAGTGCATGAGATAGTAAGGGAGAGTAAGATAGGTAGTAGATATAAATAAAGATAAGTAGTAAGATAGTAATGCAGGTAAAAGGCCCCAAGGAGATTATATATTAGGTAGACCATAAGGTAGATAAGAGATAGAGAGGAGGTATTTAGTAAAATAAGGAGAATAGGCAGAAGGTAAGAGGTAGTAAGGAGAATAAAGTAAGGAAGGATAAGTAATAGAGTAAGGGTTAGTAAGTTTAAGATAAGAATAAGGGGTAGAAATATAAGATAGAGAGAGTTTTAGTAAAGAGAAGAAATAAATATAATTAAAAATAGGAGAAGAAAGGGAAGAGGAAAGGGAAGAGGAAAGGGAATAGAAAAGAAAAGAAAATAAAAGATAATAATAAAAGAGAGAATAAGGGTTAGGAATAAAATAGAAATTATTAATATATTAAGGTAAGGTTAGAATTATTAAAGAGAATAAGGATTTAATAGAGAGATAGATAGAATAAGAGGAGAGAGTTAGAGATAAAGAGGGTATTAAGTAATAGGAATTTAAGAATAATAAGTTAAAATTAGAGGAAAGATTAAGGATGGAGTAAGGTTAGATAGTAAGA